ACACACACGCGCACCCGCCACACAACACACACACACACACACACACACACACACACACACGTGCGTGCGTGCGTGCGTGTGTGTGTGCGTGTGTCGAGGCGGAGGCAGCCAATTGTCATGTTCTGTCGGAGATTAACGATGTCATGACGTCATGCAGGTGAGAACGTCGTCGAGATCGGCAAATACGATGCGCTTCTCGACGTGCTTGTGATGGAGAACACGACGCGGTGGGCAGGTAAACAAACAGGAACACATAGCGCGATCACTCTCTTCCCCTCTCTCTGCCTCTATCTATCTCTGTCTCTATCTATCTCTGTCTCTGTCTCTCTTTCTCTCTCTCGCTCTCTCTCTTTCTCTCTCTCTCTCTCTCTCTCTCTCTCTCTCTCTCTCTCTCTCTCTCTCTCTCTCTCTCTCTCTCTCTCTCTCTCTCTCTCTCTCTCTCTCTCTCTCTCTCTCTCTCTCTCTGACTCTTGTTCTTCGAGGGTAGGTGACTTGTTCGCGTACGTTTGTGCTAGCGTGTGAGGAGGTGGTGGTGGTGATGATGGTTGTCGGGGGTTGTTGGCAAAACAACGGGGAAGCAGCGAAATACACGCCGGGTGCAAGAAAGAACGGCGTCGGGGGGTGTGCGGTCATGCGCCGAGGGGCGGGCGATGCTTCTTGCTCGCGTTAATTACCCCCTTAACTAGATCGCGGTGACTGTGAGCAGACGCGCCCGTTTCCGTGGCGACGGGTGAACGAACGCTGCCCGTCACGCGTGCAGACGACATTCCATGTGGGACTGTCCCCGGGGCATTGCGACCCCCGTCCCCCCACCTCTCCCCCCCCGCCGCGTAGCCCTGCTGCTTCGTACGTGGCCCTGCCCACGTGACGTCACGCTCGCCTAGTAGCGGCTGAACCGGCGTGCGGTGTTACTCTTCGTTTGCGGTGTGCGTGCTTGTGTGTGTATGTGATCGCTAAAGGTGTCTTCGTGCGCTTGTCCCATACGTGATATAGGCGTTTGTACGTGTGGAATGGCGCGTGCACATGCCGTAGTTGTGCGTGTTTAGGCGTGAGAGCTTGCCGTTGTGTATCGTAGGAGAGAGCGGGAGAGAGAGAGCATCCGGCCGACCTCTGCCGAACCGGATCGAGACGCTGCGTTGTTTATCTCTGAGTGTATGTAGATATAGCTCTGTACTGGGCCCAAGGCTATATACGGAAAATCGGCGAGAGAGAGATGTCCACATTTGCACATGTCGCCTATATTGCAGTAATGGATTGTACTATATAGGCACGTTTATATACGTAGATGCAGAGAGCCCCGGAAACACGAACATACGGATTTAGACGCGTATCCGGATTTATTTGTTTATTTGCGCAGGACTTGCGCGTACTTTGTTCACTCGAGTTCCGAACGATCGATTTTGCGATCAAAACTTTAGAACCGATGTTATATGTTTGTAACTTGTGGGACTCTCGGTCGATTACTGCGCGTGCCTCTACGCGAATACCAAAACGCAATGTGCTAGCTGCCACTCGCTCACCGTAACTTCGTATGAGTACGCACATGCATGCGTGCGTGCGTGCGTGCATATAAGCGGGCGTTCGCGGGTGCATGCATGTCTGCGTGCGTACAATGCGCGCATGTGTACGTGCGTGCATGTGTGCGGAAGTTAATGAACGCGGGACGTAGGGGTGTTTGCTAGTTTTGAAGAAACGATCGTGTGCATTGCACGGTCGTGCATATGCGTATCCGTTTACTCACTCAGCCGTGGCAGGCCGGTACAGTATAGGAGGTGTTCGTGAATCATGGAGTGACAGCAGATGGCACTACTATGCATTGCTAACCTGCAGGTGGCACCACTGGGCACGGCTAACCAGCAGGTGGCACCACCATGCATGGTTTACCAGCAGGTGGCACTGATGTACATAATATGGCTACAGCTAGTGTCACATATTTACCAATAATGTACAAGTGGTTGTAATGAGCTGCATCATCATCATCATCATCAGCACCATCATCATCATCATCATCATCATCATCATCATCATCATCAACAACAGCCGCAAGAAGAGCAGCAGCACCAACAATAGTAGTAGCAGCAGCAGCAGTAGCAGTAGCAACAGTAGCAGCACCACCACTAGCAGTGGCAGCAGTATCTTAGTAGCACCACTAGTAGTAGCAACAGCAGCAGTAGCACCACTAGCAGTAGACCGAATAATTCTGTCCCATATAACCT